TAAATTTCATGTTGTAAACAAGATGCCCCAAAAAAGCAAAGAAGTAATTTTTAAATTTTTTGATAATTTCATAATTCATATCCCAAAAGATGAAAATTGGTTGTAATATAGATATGTATTAATTTAGTAAATAATTTTTTTTTTGTTTTTATATAAATTTATGGAGATATTGCCCCTTTAGGTGATGAGTGACATGGAAAACAAAGTGTCACTGCTTTATAAATAAAAATACTGACTGAAAAAACTAATGATATATATAGGTATGCAAGGTCATCTAAACTAAATTTGGTCAATCATATATCATTCATGTTTGGTTGAAAAGATCAGACTTTTTTATGCAATTGTTTCTGAGATATTGGCATTTTGGTGAAAGCTTGGAATTCAATCATGAATTCGCCATATTGCTTGCCACTTTAAGGGGTGGTAACATTGTAACAGCTTGCCAGTTAATGAGTTAATGGGTCAAATATGCAAACTTCCATTGCATTTCCTCAACATTCGGTTTAAACATACCATGTGGTGGTGCACTTTCTCCAACTGGTGGTACCGGCGGTGCTAATTCACTGGTTGCCATGGTGATCAAATTACCAAACACTTCAAATGAAAATGAATGCAAATTAATGACCCATCTAGAAGTATTCTGAAAATGGGATCAACACTCCTAAAATCTAGTGAAACATGTGACAATTGGTATGGAAATTCATCTTGTTTACTGGTTTGTCTTGCTTTTAACAGGCCAGCCTGGGTGCACATTTTTGTTGTTGCGACCGATGCTGAAGCAGCTCCCAATCAATAACATGCAAATTTTTTCAACATGTGCCTGCCTAAAATGCATATCCTAGGCTAAGCCATTTTATGTGTTCAAAGCAAGCGATGAGTTAAGGCATGTATGGTAACATGGCTGGCCTTTTTGTACGGGATGTGCTGGATCCGGATACCAGCAAAATATAGACATCTGGTACTATTTGGTATAAATTTGCCAGGATATATTACCAGATAGTACTGGCACTTTTATTATAACCACAAAACCGTCTATTTTGCGTTAAGATATTGTTAAATACAAACTGGTCTACCCGACATGTGACACATTAAAACGAAATTACAGTCAAGTTTTTTTGTGATGTCCACATACTAAACAGACAATGGACTATTTTACGACAAAAGTTAGTGACATATTGTCCAATTCCCACCATCATTATCCGGTTATTATCCCGTAGATTACTATCCAGTATCCGGCAAAACGGTATCCGGCACATCCCTACTTTTTGTACAAGCACAGAAAGTATTAAAGTCTTGCCGAGCTCTGCATAAAATTATTAATCCTGCTATGCTGTCATGCTCTGCATACTACCTGCACATCTAACCAAAAAGTACTTCTATTACCCTACCTAAAGAACTATAATTCAATTAAATCAAGATTTTCCGTTTATATGATAAATGAAAATCCAAAAACGTTTCCAAATATAATTCATTTTCAGAGTGGAGATACAAAAATTTTTTTTCACAAAATATCAAGAAATTCCCCCACCCAAAACTTGCCATTTATCTACTTTACCTTCCTGACGAATAACTAAGCTAACACTGTGCCTATTACACTAGAATACAAACGACAAATCCCAGACCAACACCGCGTGTCGCCTCCATGCGCCAAATCCCAAAGCGAAACCCAAATATTGTCAAGCATTTAGAAGGAAAATTAACACGCAACGAAACACAAATTTCACTCATAATACAGAAATATAAGTCTAGGAGCGTATAAATGATATAGTTAGAGGGAATTACCGGGTTTATCAGGCCAAAAAAGTTTAAAATTTGGAGGAAAATCTTCGGCGGTACTTCTTTTCTCTTGCAGAATTTCAGAAAACACCAAGTTCCTCGTGCATCATGGGAAAAATTTGGCCGCTTGGCACGCATTGCATCATGGGAGAATAGGTCCCATGCCACCCTACATACGCAACGCGCATATCACACTCCAATCTCGTACCCAGAGCCATCGTTGACTCTGGAAAATTTCACGTTCAAAATTCAAATTAGAATAAAAGTGAACGGAATAATACAATAACTTGTTGTGCATTTGATGCTGTTTGACATCTTGAAAACTCGTACTGGATATTCATTCTTTGATATTGAAAGTCGGGCAATTTCCATCCTCGTTTCCAGGGAAGCCCTGGGAACGAGGATGGGCAATTTCCCACTTCGTCGGGCAAAGTGGTGTCCAGTGTCCGCCCTTCCCAGACCCTTCCCATTTTTCTTCCCCGCTACGCCAATGCAAAAGAATAATTTCCTATTGCCGTTGCATTAAAAAGACATTGCCTCCGACTTTACAAATGATATTATTGGCTCATGGTCCACCACTGTAAATGTATTTTAGGCAAAGCTATGACACAAATTTTGACACCGGTTTTCGTTCATCTTTCCAGAAATTTTTCTCTAAACTTGCACAATTCTTCTAAACTTCAGAACTTGGAATCTTATCCATTTTCTTGGGAGGGGTTAACCCCCCCCCCCCCAAATACTGTTGGTAAGCTGTTATTGTTACAAGTAGTTAGTGACATGCTGGGTGGAGGTTTTATCGAATGAGCGCTGAAGGCGCGAGCCTTCTACACACGCGTAAGTCTCGCGTCTTGTAACAAGCCGTCAACAAGTTGTCTTCGCACTGCTTGTCCCAAGTTGTCAATAAGTTTGGAACAAACTGTTAACAACTTGTAACAACCTTGCTGATATTTAATAAATATTGTTACAACCTTGTGTCGTCAACCTTGTAACATTCTTGTTATATATCATGACTGTATCAGACTTGTTAGAACAACCTTGTAACAAGTCTGATGTCATCAAGCTTGTTACAAGTTGTTAACAGCTTGTTCCAAACTTGTTTCAACAACTGGGAACAAGTAGTGCAGCGAAGACAACTTGTCGACAGCTTTTGAACAGATTTGTAACAACTTGTGCGTTTTTACGTTTGTAGACGGGGCATGATCCCGCACAAAATTCTTGGAACTTTAATTTCTCGATGCGCAACCGAAATCTATTATAACTGAAGTTACAGCATGCGCTGGTTAGCTTTAGTGAATACGTCGACAATGTTTAAATCTGAATTAATCTTTGAGATTGCTTTTCCTGCATTCTGATGTCATTTATACTGATGTTTCGATGACAATTTTTTATGGTAAGAAATGGTCGCAAATATAAACTATTTTGAATTTTAAAAGTATTAATCATATTTTATTTCATTTTTATGGATTATAATATTTCAGACATCACTAGCAAACATGCTGAGGAAATCCATTGACATTCCACTCTCCATAGTTGAAAAACTTTGCTCAATGTAGCCAGGCACAACATCCTTGGACAACCCAGATAATAAAGCAAATAGGACTTAGCAGAGAATTTCTTGTTCAGCTGGAGATTTTGCCTGCTCAGCTGGAGATCGACTCCTAAAGCTGGAGTCTTGACATATATGCAAGTATTGAACTTGACATATATGCAAATCCTTGCAGTACCGTTACCACTGTTATGTATTATTTAAAACACGAGCAAGAGTGCTTTGTCACATACAGTATAATGGGTTATAAAACGATCCATCTGATGAGTTCATTGGCGAAGTAATTTTAGAACTAAACGTTGTCTACATGAACATGATTTTTTATCTCACACCAACATGGCAATGATTCCTTTTGTATTTTCCTCAAGAATTATTAATGAGTTTTTAAATTACTATAAAACACAACAACAATGCACAAAAGGCGTCATTCGAATTATTTTATTTTTGCATCTTTTTTTAGTGCGAAGATATGTACTCTGCATTCGTCTTTAATAAGTTCCAGGTGTCTCTTTTTTAATACAGAATCCAACAGAAAAACGGCACGAAAACACACACACTTTGTTAATAGACATATTGCATATTTACTGCATTGCAATACTAAATTACTCGTAGACAAATGGAAAATTTACATTAATATATAATTTACACATCTTTTGTTCATCTAGCAATATTTAACACGACAGAAACAGCCGAGGGGGAGACCATAAAATTCAAACCACACACACCACAAAAATGTTTAATTGGGGTTCCAGTTCACGAGGCATATACTCCAGGAGGGGAGGTCCTCAATTTGTTCCAGACCAATATTGCTGAGGGTATATCGATTGACCATGATGAGACTTGTTCTGTGAAACCTTGCCTTGGTTCTGCGCCCCCCGGTTTTGGTTCAGGCTGTCCAGTTGTTGTTGATGCGAGAGGTGATGACTCGCGAATAGCGACGGGGGGTGTTGGGTTGGTGCTAAGACAGGCATCAGGGGGAAGCCGGCAGGATGATGTTGATGGCCTTGCCCTGGTAATGATATATTCAATGGCGGTGGGGTTCCACTCAAATAACCTTTGTCGGCGAACTATATTTGGATAAAATATGACATCGATCAAACTTCATCAAACTTCATCCAGCCCTAGGACTTGATCAAACTTCATCCAGCCCTAGAACTTGATCAAACTTCATCCAGTCCTAGGACTTAATCCAACTTCATCCAGTCCTAGCACTTGATCAAACTTCATCCAGTCCTAGAACTTGATCAACATTATCAAACTTCCTTCAGTCCTAAGACTTGATCAAACTTCGTCCAGTCCTAGGACTTAATCAAACTTCCTTCAGTCCTAAGATTTGATGAAAACTTCATTCAGTCCTAAGACTTAATAAAACTTCACCCAGTCCTAGAACTTGATCAAGCCATAGACAATCCAGAAGACATTGTCTATGATCAAGCTCATCCGGTCCTAGCACTTTATCAAGCTTAACCAGTCCTAGAACTCGATGACACTTTATCCAGTCCTTAAATATTTAATCTCTATGTCTAAGCTGATTCGTATTTCGTACAATATAACTCACCTGTGTCTTATACGTTGATAAATCTGACGCGCTATTGCTCGCTGTACTTCCACTCACTAGAATGAAAATAAAATTTCAGGACGTTTGCGGTTTGTCATAGTGATCGTATAAAGAAAACAGTCACGAAGAGATTTTAAAGCTAGCTATAGTTTAAGAATGATGAGAGTTCAATTTCCATCATCGTCTGGACTTAATTCGCTGACCTCAGAATGACATTTCGTCAAAACGTTTTTCTTCAAGGAAAAGAAAGGTTTAGAAACAAACTTGGAGTAGGGTTAGGTTAAGTTTCGTCACTCTGAGGCCAGCGAAAGAACCTTCATCAACCGCATCTTCTCACCTGGATTTGCTTTACTTTGTGCAGGATGTTGATATCCTTGTTTCCCAAAGTCATGTGCGTTGGACAAACCATCGTAACCTTAACATAGATTAATTGATTTTAGAACAATCTTCATGCAGAAGATATAAAAAAATCTAGTTTGATATTCACTAAGCATCTGAAACAGGAGTGGGAAAGAAGGCGAGCACTGCTCGCAGGAAATGTTAAACAGCTGCAGGAAATTCGTTTGAATGAAGATTTGCGCATTGCTATTGAAAAGTTGAAGGAAACCTTAGCACCCATGTCCACTATGGGCGCAACAACATATGGTTGACAGACATTATTCCTTGAATTTAAAACTATGGTCAGCTAGAACACTATGTTATGCACATGTAGATTTAGCACAAAAATAATCACATACAATGCTGTCCATGGACCATGGCTATGTCCAGAAATCATCGTATAAAATATATAAGAAAGGAATACAGAATGTTATCGCAATACAGTATCCATAACAAAGCTATGGGGGATTTTACCTGAAGTATAATGCGGACCAAGCTGATTAGCAAAATTTTGTTGAAATTGAGTTGTTACGCCTGGACCTTTCGTAGGTAGCTATAAGAAATAGAGGAACCAATGAACTTAGTGTTGTAGACCACATCGCAATCACCCAATATACGAGTCATCGTACGAAGAAGAGAATATGGGGGAATAATTTTCAAAATAATCACAACTTGCGTACTTGGTACATCTGTGTCGTGTAAGGAGCTGCAAAACCTCCGATCATTCCACCGCCATGATAGAAGGCCAGGTTACCCGCGTAGCCAAACGGATGTAATTGCGCATGCGTGTTCATAAACGGAGCTTGCTGTCCATGAGGTCCAGCGGTAAGAGTCGAAGGTACTGGTGAGGATGTGTCGTTCCTGTTATACTTGACATCAGTACCTGATGAATAAACAACGTGATTAGTGCTGTGTTGATGTGTTTGTCCTGGAGCAAGTTGGGAACAAGTTATCGTTTTAAAGTCACTATGGAACGAAATATAAAACAACGTGTTTTCCCTCTTGGCCTTGGCAAATGTGGTGCCAATTTCCTTATCCAATCCATTTTTGCATTTGGAAAGGCAATTACAAAAACAAAAGTAAAGAGAAAATTATATAGTGACATGATCGATAAATTGTCAACTATGACCAAAGCTCGATGGGCAGTCTCCCCTAACAGATATGGCTGAATCCAACCCTGTGCTTTAGTATGATATGATGCACACAAAATTTATAGTAGTGACCTAATACAGTGTTTTAAAAAGTATGCTTACCTGAAAACGAGTTCTGTACACCATCACGTCCGGTGACAGGGAACGACATATCATAATGGTAGGGAGGCTAAATATTGATGTTAAAAATGCTGTCATTAATAAGCTTTATGAGAATAAAATAAACTAAAAGTCATGTTTAGACTGCGAGCCTTGTCCCGGCCAACACCAAGCCAAGGTAATAGACCTTTCCCCTTATAACCAAAATTTTGATCTAGGCAAGTCTAGACAAATATTTCATCACAGCTTGAAAGAGCATCACAAAATTAGTAATATTCCAAAGTTTCGTTGCGAAATGTTGTAAAATGAGGAAAATAGAGCCTTGCGAAGTTTTCAGTCATTTTGCATTACAAACGGGAAATTGCAGCCCCAACACCCGAATCGGATGTCAATTTCCCGTTTGTAATACAAAATGACTGAAAAACGGCAAACTTCGCAAGGCTATATTATCCGCATTTTACAAGATTTTGCAACAAAACTTTGGAATATTACTAATTTTGTGATTCTCTTTCAAGCTATGATGACATTTTTATCTAGATCGAAATTTTAGTTATAAGGGGAAAGGTCCATTGTGATACGTTTACACTGTTTACATTGCCATCGTTGGATCGCAGACATAATGGAAGAGAATGCCATCATACTGTATATGTAGAAAACAACAATCTATTTACCTGCATTTGCATTCGTTGAATCATCTGTATATCGTCCACAGGATAGCCTAATGGCTAAAATTCGAAAAGGCAGTCAAAATACATATATTCACAGCTTACTATAACTTTTGTTCCTAACAATCTGGGGCCGGTTGTTCAAAGGTGGGTTAGCGCTAACCCTGGGTTAAAATGTAACCTGCTGTTTTAGTTCATGTATTTCTGCACATCTGTTTATTTCAAAACTTCAGAAAAGAGAACTCCTATTGATCCTGACAAGATTTCTGAAGAAATATTTCCAAATTTATAAACAAGCTGTCAGGAAGTTTGCTTTGAATTTTAGGTTCACCCAGGGTTAAACTAACCCAGCATTGAACAACTGTCCCCTGAGGTTTTAGCCAAAATCAAGTCTCCAGAGCCAGATGTTCTGTACCCCTAATAAGATTTTTGCCTAACTCAATCATGTGATATAGGCAATATTATTTCTTAACTTGCGTATGGTTTTAAATCATTCTTTTTCATCCTTCAAACGAAATTTTTAAATTGTCTTAAGATGAAGAGTGTATTAAAAAAAGAAGAAAATAAGTTCAAATTTTTAAAAACGTTTTGAAATGTCGAAAAATGAGTTCGGCAAAAAAGTTATCAAGCTGTCGTCGTGTCGATATTAGGGACCTTTAGCAAATAGGTGACAGCAACGCGACGACGACGGCCAAAATAAACTCGTTCGAATAAGTAACTTTAAGATCAACATGTCTTGTATTATCCGTTGTATGAATTTATTGCAATTTAAGAAGGTTAAGACAGAGGTTTATAGTTGAGAAGACTTCTACTAAGTCAATTTGGCGAGGACCGACTTCTCGCGGCTTGAAAGGCAGACGTTGTATACAAAACGTGAAAATCTTTGGTTTGCTGTTGTAAACAGAGCAAGGACGACGTCTAAAACTCCCATGGGACCTTTAATTATGCATTTTCTTTCTACGCTGTCATAAATTTCATTGTATTAATAGCGGTCCCCGTCCTGCTAGCTAAAGGTCCCTATTCTGTATATCGAGAGAAAGGAAAATAAATAAAAACACATTCTGGCTGTAAAAAATGGAGACTGTACATTACATATGCTAGAAGTTACTATCACATGCGAGGACATCTCCTCCAAAGAGAAGCCCACAGAGACTTAAATAACTTACCGAGAATCCTGCGAACCCTGGAGCGGGTTGCATACCGTAGAGAGGCATAACCCCCGGTGGCAGATTAGGAGGTTTAGCTGAAAAATAAATGAAACGAGAATGAGTCCATATTGAAGTACGTACAATAATACCACACCAAGTTAAATACAAACACACAAAAATTCCAACTTCGGCTGAAGCATTCACAGTTCCGAATCAAGGTGGGTTTCGCTTAGTATTATCGTGCAGATCTTATCGCTGTGAGAAACACTGTAAATTATTTTCATTCTATGCAGAAGTCTTGCATCTTGTGGCAAATAAAGAAGTCCATCAACAGTTCTGAAGATGTTTGTGATGTTACTCTGAGTGTGCATCCACACCGGGCAAGCTGAAAAGTTTGCCTGACCACGGTGGGAATCGAACCCGCGACCTTTGGGATACTAGTCCAATGCTCTACCAACTGAGCTACGAGGTTCAGTCGGTTCGAG